CACCTAAGTACAATGCTCCTCTCGGCAATATCTTCCTGATGATGTATGGGCCTTTCCAGTTTGGAGCGAATTTCCCTTTCGCTTCCTGGTGATGTGGCAGAATGCGCCTCAATACCAGTTGACCTACCTCAAAATTTCTGGGTTGGACTTTCTTGTTGTAAGCACGGGCCATTCTTTGTTGGTACAACTGCCCGTGACAAATCGCAGCCATTCTTTTCTCGTCAATCAAAGTCAATTGCTCCAATCGAGTCTTAACCCACTCGCTGTCTTCGATTTCTACTTCGACAATGGTTCGAAGCGAGGGAATCTCTACCTCTGCTGGTATCACAGCCTCGGTCCCATAAACCAAAAGATAAGGGGTTGCCCCTACTGACGTGCGTACCGTAGTGCGATATCCCAACAAGGCAAACAACAACTGCTCATGCCACTGTCGGGAACTCTGGATCGTTTTCCTCAAAATCTTCTTGATGTTCTTGTTTGCTGCTTCTACAGTGCCATTGGCCTTGGGCCGGTAAGGAGTGGAATTCCTATGCATTATTTTGAACCGCTCGCATACATCTCCCATCAAGTGACTATTCAGGTTCGTTGTGTTATCCGTGATGATAGTTGCAGGAATACCGAAACGACAAATAAGATTTGAATGTACAAAATCCACTACAGCTTTTTTGGTGATCGACTTGGGAGTGACAGCCTCTACCCATTTGGTGAAGTAGTCGATGGCAGCCAGTATAAATCTATGTCCATTTGAGGCCTTGGGCTCGATCGGACCAATGACGTCCATGCCCCAGGCAACAAACGGCCAAGGTGCCGACATGGGATGAAACTCGGTGGGAGGTGCATGAATCAAATCACCGTGCACCTGACACTGATGACACTTCTGAACGAAGCTAAAGCAGTCCTTTTCCATGGTTATCCAGTAATAACCTGCTCGAAGGATTTTCTTTGCCAAAACGTACCCATTCATGTGGGGTCCGCACACTCCTGCGTGTACTTCGTGCATGATCCTTCTTGCCTCCTCGGCGTCAACACATCTTATTAGGTTGAGGTCCGGTGTCCTCTTGTACAACAATTCACCGCTCAGAAAGAAACCACTTGCATGCCGCCTAATGGTCCTCTTTTGATCTCCAGTAGAATGCTCGGGGTATTCTTGTGTCTTCAAGAACCTCTTGATATCATGATACCATGGCTGCGTATTCGATCCTGTCTCGATTGCGTTGCAGTAGCCGTGTCTTTCCCTGATTTGGATTTCCAAGGGTGGGCGTTGCCTGGGTAAGGTAGCATCGAAGCCAAAGTAGCAAGCGCATCTGCTAGTTCATTGTGACATCGCGGGATATACCTGAACTCTATTGATTCAAAGCGCTTGCCGAGATCCTCCACGTGCTGTCGGTAAGGGATAAGCTTGACATCCCGAGTTTCCCATTCACCTTGGGCTTGCCAGATAATCAAGTCGGAATCTCCCATAATCAGTAAGTCTTCGACATCCTGATCGATCGCCATACGCATGCCCATGATGTAGGCTTCATACTCAGCTGTATTGTTTGTGCAAAAGAAACGTAGTCTAGCTGTGGCGGGATAATGTTGACCAGAGGGCGAGATCAAAATTGCCCCGATTCCTACGCCCTTGGCGTTCACGGCTCCTTCAAAGAACGTCTTCCAAACATGAGCGTTCTCCGAGACCACTTCTACGGTGTTTATTTCTTTATCTGGGAAGTAGGTACTTAATGGCTGGTATTCCTCATCGACTGGATTTTCGGCCAGGTGATCTGCTAGCGCCTGGGCTTTCATTGCCGTGCGAGTGACATAGACTATGTCGAATTCAGTAAGCAAGATTTGCCACTTGGCCAGTCTTCCAGTAGGCATTGGTTTCTGAAATATATACTTCAAAGGATCCAGCCTGCTTATGAGGAAAGTAGTGTGAGCTTGGAGGTAATGTCTCAACTTTTGAGCAACCCATGTCAGAGCGCAACATGTTCTTTCCAGCAGAGTGTACTTGGCCTCGTAGCCGGTGAATTTCATGCTCAAGTAATAGATTGCTTGTTCTTTCTTTCCGGTTATGTCATGTTGCCCAAGGACACAACTGAAAGAATTTTCCAAGACTGTCAAATACAAGAACAGTGGTCTCTCTGGCTCTAGTGGGACCAAAACTGGGGGATTTGAAAGATATTCTTTAATTTTGTCAAAAGCTTCTTGGCACTCAACCGTCCATTTGATCGCCGCATCTTTCCTCAATAGCTTAAATATGGGCTCACACGTGCTAGTTAGCTGGGCAATGAATCGACTGATATAGTTCAACCTGCCCAACAGATTCATCACGTCTTTCTTCGTTCTTGGGAGAGGTAGATCCCTGATAGATTTTATCTTTGTTGGATCTAATTCGATACCTCTCCTGCTCACTATGAAGCCCAAACGCTTGCCCGATGGGACTCCGAAAGCACATTTGGCTGGGTTCAGCTTCAAATCGTACTTCCTCAGTCTCTCGAAGAACTTCCTCAAGACTTGGATGTGATTATCCTGCGTCCTAGATTTGATTATCACATCGTCCACGCACACCTCTATTTCTTGATGCATCATGTCATGAAAAATGGCAGTCATGGCTCTCATGTAAGTAGCCCCAGCATTCTTCAGACCAAATGGCATAACCCGATAATAGTAAGTGCCCCAAGGCGTGGTGAAGGCAGTCTTCTCGGCATCTTCTTCATCCATCAATACCTGATGATACCCAGCGTAACAATCTACGAAAGACTGGATCTCATGTTTGGCGCAATTATCAACAAGGATGTGGATGTTGGGCAATGGGAAATTATCTTTGGGACTCGCTCTATATAGGTCTCGATAGTCCACGCACACCCGAGTCTTCCCATCTTTTTTCGGCACCAGAACCACATTTGCCAACCATGTTGTATACTGGACTACCCGAATCACTCCCGTTTTCAGCTGCTTGGTGATCTCCTCTTTAATCTTGTCACTGACCTCAGTTTTGAACTTTCGTTGCTTTTGTTGAACTGG